TGCTTTATTGTAAGCAGCTTTTTAAAACATTTCCATGAAATGAAACTGCAATCCACAAAACATTGAAATGGTCTTCTTAATTTTGATAATTCATGTGTTTTGTTGATAATTAACATGATCTTAATATTTTACTGTACAACAAAAGTTTTATGACTTAAAAATTTCATTTGAAGTTTGTTTTTTATCTGTAGAAAATTTAATTAAGGTATGTCGGCATTTATTGTTAATCAAATCAAAGGCAAATAACAAATCAATTATAGGAGAAGTAGAAAATTCTCTTTGATGAAATAGAAGAAGTAAATCTTTTTTATAGTAACAATCAGCCGTCGTAGTAATAGAGAAAGATAATAATTACAACAATAACAACAACAACAGTACAAAATAAAAACTTGGCACATACACGCGTGTAATACGTGCGTATGGCACTTTGAAGACGTCCATTTTCATTTTCTCATCATTATCATATTAAGAGGATTAGAAGTCGTATATTAGCCATTTAGAACTCTATTATAATAAGATAGAAAGATTGGCTACATGATTATGTTATATAAATCAATTTAAAGAAATATAAAGAAGGAACTAAATGTAGTTGAAAAAATATGTTTTAATGTTCGATTGTAGATTTTTTTAATGCCTTTAGTTGGAAATGAGCATTGATATAAACAGTGGGAATCGTTTTGAGGATATATTTGAGAAAAAACTTAACTTTTTAGCGTTACTATTAGAGAAAAATAGATTCATCTATCTTTCCGCAAAAGTAATACATTGTCATATGGTATTTATATGATTGATTTGACTGTTCAATTGTGTCCTCTGTATGCATACAATTACTTTTAGATTTTTGTCTTTTCTTCAAAGCTCACACTAATGAAAAAGAAGCCACCTCTGGTTTATGTTTAACAAGAAAAATGGAAAATGTTTTTTATTATCGAAATAATTTTTTCTTTCTCTTTCTCAGTCTACGTGAAAGTCTCTATTGTCACAAAAGTGTGCCATTTGAACACCTTTAAACAAAGAACAATGATAGATTATTTTCCTAAAACGGAAATGCACCGTGAGAATCAATTTCATATTTCTAATTTTGATCGTCATCTGTATAAAGGTAAGCTGTATGTGTCGTTCTCTGTGTGAGACAAAAACTTAAGAAACTATTCAAGATATGAGATAATTGTATTCGTATGTAGATATACAATCTCATTAGAAAAAGAAAAGAAAAGATCTTTAAGTTGTTTATACATTGGCTTATAGTCTGAAAAAAAGAAGAAATAGGAAAAGAGTGACATTGACTATACTACGTTCACTGCAAAGGAAATAATTAACTAATCGATTAAACTTTAGCAAACTTTATTGGAAATTCACACTTGTAACAGAAATAAGAAAATCTTTCCTGTATGTTTGTTGATATCGATATAGAAACCCATATACTAATCGATTATACATCACAGATTACTACCTTTTTGAGTACTATAAAGTTGCGTCTAACCAATAGTTAGGATTGTTTCATAAAAGTGACATTATATTGAGTTTCAGAGAACATGTTAAACGTGGACATATGTTTCGAAATAAGCATCGCGATAAATTATTCACTATAAAGTGATGAATACAACTGGTTGAACGCCTTTTTTTTATAGTCAATAATGTTCTATATAATTGACTTTAAAAGAAGAAAGCTGAATAGGAGAATACAATAAATGTCTATTTACCAAAGTTGTCATTGATAAGCTCTTCTGTATCGAGTATAATTTGTTGTTTGAATATATTCACTGATGTTAACATAGTGAATAAAATATTGCTCGTTTGCCTCGAGAAATTTATATTTAGGGAATCATGGCGCATTTTCAGAACTTAAAGAAAGTTAGATATTGTCTAACAATCTTGCTTAGAAGAACGTGAAAGAGATCAAAACTTCTTAGTAGATAGATACAAATATCTTTTCCAACAAAAAATGAAAATAGAAACATTTGAGATTCAACTAGTATTATGCTTATTCCAATTTACTTTTTAGAGGTGTTACATGAGGGACTGTCTTCGTTTTATTCATGTTATATTGTCGGTGAAGATTTTATGTTTTCATTATTAGTGCACTTGCCTAAACAGAACTCATTTTGTATATAATATAAGACCAATAAGAAGTATGAAAAAAAATCAATCTAAAAAACTAGAGAGATATACACACTTAACGCGTTAAACAGTTAAAAATCTTTCTCTTTTCAAGTGTTAGATGGATTTCATTATACTCTCTAAATCCAAATGAAGTGATGAAAAGAAGAAATATGGTCAATTATTATTGTTTTTTAGATGAGAGGACGAAACAAGTGCATAGTAGAGAATAGAAAATATTTTTTATTTTTCTTAATTATTTAGATGATATTTATTTCTAACAATTATCTGATCAAATAATATTATTTGTTTTATAACTTGTCAAGCTGCAATATCATTTGAAACGTTACTAACTTCTATAAGAACATTATATATATATATATATATATATAGAACTTCTATTATATGCATTTTTTCAGGCTTTTTTGGCCGAAATCAATTGTGACTCACCATAGTATCCTATATGCGCCAACTTAAGCAAAATGTGTTCAAGTACGTGATAGAGAACACCCTAGATAAATGAGAAACATTTATCAAAAATCAGTTTGAGAATCAACGTTATCACAATGTCTTCAAATTAACTTATTTCAATTTCTATGGTCTATACAAGAATGATACTAAATCTAGAGTCATATAACCCACACCTTATTAGGCAAAAATTTTCACGATTCGTAAAACAGCTGTATGAAGATGAATTTTTGAGCAGACTGTTCAATTACACATATTTTGGCTTCATGATTTTATCACTCTTTTCCTGGTCTCTATTTCGTAGAAAAAAAAATAATAGTCTAGAATTTCATGAAGTAATCAGCAAGTTCTAATACGATCAACATCCTTTGTTGTCGTCAAACTAATCGAAAAAAATTACATTGAGAGATTTAGAACAATTGAAATTTTACAGAGAGAAAAAGAGAGAAAACTCATCAGATCATGCACGAATGCAAATTGAGTTTTATTTCATTAAAAAATTGGTATCTATAAGTATCATAAATAAGTCCTTTCATTTAGAGCATGGTGTAAATCAGAGACAAGTAGAAAACAAGAAGAGACAGTGTTAAAATAAAAACATGGAGAATAATAGCTCAATTCGCTAGTAATATTCGAAACTTTGACTTTTAAACATGTATGTAGTGATTATAACAGCTATGTAAAGGAAATAAGTTCATCTTCTAGATAGACTTAGTCTCATATGTTAATACCAACTCTTTTAAATCATTTTTTTATTAAATCATTTAAACAATTTCTTTAAATCATGTTTAATTTTTCTTCCATAGTTTCTATCTTCGAGACCATTTTATGATAAGGACATTATTAGTACAACAATGTTCACCTGTTTTTAATAACTTACGTGTTGAGTATATTATGATGATTAATATTGCCAACATCTAAACTACAAAAGAAAAGCATTTCTTTACACTTCTAAAACAGCCTACAAGGCTTTATTATTATTAAGATGCTGTTATGTTTAACGCAAAGATGGATATATACTATAAAATTGAAGTAAAGACATGCCGCTATACTTGTCTTTGAACAAATTTCCTATATTATATTAAAATAGATCTCAATTCTTGAATTTTGCTAGCCAATGGCGGTTGTTCAATTTTTTTTTTCTTTTTTCTATACTAATCTTACGACAGCATCAGCACCACTCAAAATATTTACTTAACCAAACAAAACTTTTTTTATTTATGATTTTATTACCGAGATAAAATTTAGTTTGAAAATAAGAATGTAGATATATTTGACCACTTGAGAGAGAGAAGGAGCACAAAAAAATCAAGAAACTAAATTACGAGCGATTTAAGAAGAGAATAAAGATGATTAGATACAGACACATTTTGCTTTTTTTGCATAAGCAAATGTTCACTAGTCATGTGTGTAAAACAAGCTAATGGAAACAAAAATAGCCGTAGTGATTATTTTCTAACTTCATTAAGTACGACGATATTAACAATAAAAAGTAGATACAGGAGGAAATAAAACATCACTTATTATATCTTAAGATCCTACTACATTTATTTTATAGTCCTTCATCAGAGAAGTTTTCAGAATTGGCTGCTGGCAAACGATAAGAAAATAAACTTTAGTAACCGCGTATTCATTAGGTATCAAAGTGACATTCAACCAAAAATTATTATGCTGATCAAAGACAATCTCGTTGGTAGATATTTTATTTTTAGTATTAGAGACGGACTATGCTCCCAGACTAAGAACTTTAGTGACTTGATCACATAATATTTGATATACTCTAAATTCAGTTAAAAAAAATTGTCCGATTGGTTTAAGTCAAATTAAAAAAACATGATTTGCTCATTAGAGTTCTCTTTAAAGGATTGGTTGTGTGTGTGTGAATGTGTATATTAGAATTTTCTTCGTTTCTCTTCGTCTTTTCCGCATGAACGTACATAAATAGATCTCTATGTGTTTTCTTTTTCTTCTCTTCTCTCTATTGCTAGAAAAATGTTGAAAGGCATCCAAAACGATAACATTTTTGTTCGTTTCTGCTATATACGCGAATCAGAATCTAATAATAACAATAACAGTAATAATAATCAGAATAATAATATGAAATCTCTCTCTCTCTCGTCTCTCTATCGCATAAAAAGAGAAAATGAGATATTTTACTTCAAACGGGAAATGAAAAACAACATTGATCGGAAATAGAAAACATTGTACTCAGTAAAAAAAAAAAAAGGTGTTATGAATTTTTGTTTCGAATAAATTACAGAAAGCAAAGTATAAGAGAAAAATGGAAAGTTTTTTTATATTAAACTGTAAAACAATCAACATCGGCACAATAATACTTTAAAGATTTATATACTCACTCTCAAACTAGTTACGCGCGTATATTATGTCAACATAGAAGAAAAAAGATTATTGTCTTCAACAACCATATAAGAATGAATTACGATTCGTTATCCGATTCAGATGATATTAAAGTATGTATAATTGTAATCATAGTAGAATTAATAAAACTCGTCTTTTTAATTATATAAATTTTTAAATTTAAAATAACCACTCCACTACAAATATTTAAAAACTTTTTTTTTCAATGAAAGTTTTGCTAATTGTAAAAATTAGTGTATAAATCAACCTGGAGGTTAAAGAATCACTAATGCTAAATATTATTATTTTAGTACACTTTCTTTGACAAATATACTACTTAGACATGAAGAAATAGCGTAACATTATGCACGTGATAGTAATTTATCAGAATGCGCATGTTTGAATGTTTATATCATGGTTAAATTTCGTTTCCAACCTTTTGAAACGTCATAGTTACAATTTATCAAATTTCACTTTAACTAACAAACTATCATATAATGATTTTGTCCGAACATTAAAAATCTAAATCTTTGATAACAGAGTTTGAAAAATGAAAAACCAATCAGTGACAGCAATAACTGTTACTTTTAATAAGTAAGATAAAATCGATCAAAAAGGCGGAGTGAAACGAAAATAAAGAGGATCTGAAATAAGAATGATCTGATCATGTGCGAACTAGCTCTTGTGAATAAAATGTGAAAGAAAGTATGATTGGAGTCTGTCTTTATCTAAATGCATAGTGGAATAACGAATTAATTACAAATCCAGATGATGAAGTAGATCTTCTACTTCTTTCTTTTTATCGTCTCTGTAGTAGTTAGTTGTTACGTATTCGTGAACAAATTATTCATGTTAAAGAGACTTATGCTTATGCACTCAACATTTCAATAGCAATATAATCCTCTATGTATGTGCTCATTTTTTTTCCTTTTTTTGAGGTAATGAACAAGAGCACGACAAACGCAATAACGACAATCACCACAACACAATCTAGCGATTGTTTCAATGATCTGATACTGAACAGTGATGATGAGGAAAATCAAAGTGATGATGATGAACTTGATGTTGTTAACGAAAAAACGGCAAGAAATTCTGACCAAATAATAGGACGACGTTATTCTTGCAATAGTAGTGATGATTGTACATACGGTACGGAAAACCATGAAGCAGATGAACAAAATAAAAAACCTTTAAGTTATTCGTCATCGTCCTCCTCGTCTTCATCGCCATCTTCAACTATTTCAACCAATGACGGTGAGGCTGATAAAAATAAAAAACATATTGTTAAGCCACCATATTCATACATTGCTCTAATAACAATGGCCATATTACAATCACCAAATCGCCGTTTAACACTAAGCGGTATTTGTGAATTTATTATGAACAGATTTCCATACTACAAAGAACGTTTTCCAGCATGGCAAAATTCCATCAGGCATAACTTAAGTAAGTGTCTATTAGGAAAATAAGCGAACTTTATTTGATGTTTTTTATTTTATTTCTGGTCTCAATGATTGTTTTCTAAAAATACCACGTGAACCAGGAAATCCTGGTAAGTACAACGTAAATATTTTTTTTCTAATATATCACATTTATGATGACTTTTGAAACGCATATTGAGTTAAATCTAAAAGTAATATGTCATAATAATAGCTGAGAAGATGAAACTTCCATTCTTTTTTCTTTATCTCTAATTATGATACTCTAGAATATGTGTTTATCAATAATTTAATCTTCTTTACAGTTAATGCAACTTGCTATTTTTGATAGGTAAAGGTAATTATTGGACATTAGATCCAGCCAGTGAAAATATGTTTGATAATGGTTCATTTCTGCGTCGGCGAAAACGTTTTAAACGTGCTCATATAAATCATCATCATACATGTTATCATTCACAATCACCGGCAACAACATTTCGTACATTTCCAATTGACGCTTATACTTCCGCACATCCTCCTATCTATACATCATCGCCTACCGGTTATCATCCTCATTCACACACTTATTCAGCAGCAGCTATGGCAGCCGCGGCAATGGTCTCATCAAAATATCCACAGATAAAACGTTTTATGACAACAAATCCTTATTTACATTCAACAAGAACATCGGCATCACCTATTTTGAATAGTACGTTATCACAAACAACGCCAAAGAAATCTCTATTTACTATTGACAGTTTAATTGGTGGCGCTAGTAACAACATTGAAAAGTCAAATGAGATTTCAGACCATTCAAAATATGGTTTAAATTCCTATTTAGTGAGAGAGGGATCATCATCGTCAGTGACACAATCATTTCGTGTGTGAGAGATTATTTATATATCTGTTATACTTATTTTGTTGTTGTTGTTCTGTTTTTCTCTTTTAAATTATGTGTATTCTATTTACTAGTCAGTGATCTTTATTCATTTTTTTACATTAAAAAACAACTACAAATATATTTGTAAATCATTGATTAATTCATAGAGTTATCATTCATAGAGGTGTCATTTCAATACAACATGAAACACTTCGATTATTGAGATTTTTGTCATACAAAATCTCATATTCCAAATTTCTTGAGCATTCTATAATTCGAAAGTGTTTGGCGACAAATGATATTCTTAGAGAAGAGATATTTAGTAAAATAAAATCTAAGCTAAACAATGATGCATGAGTATGATCTATCGTAAAACATTTGTTTGGTTTTAGGGCATTGCCATTTATATTTCTACCTAGGAAAAAAGGTCATTATAGATTTTTTTTTTTTAATAGCTAATAGTTATCAAACAAGAAAACCTCGTTGTTAGAAACACATGCGTTGTTATACTATCATTAATCTCTTTAGAGCTTTCGTTAAAGCTTTCTGTTAAACTGAGGAGAAATCTTTAATTAATAACAATGCTGAATAAACCAACATTATATACGATGCATTTAAACGAGGGCGGGTAATAGTCGTCGTTCATTTATCATTGAGTATGTGTATATATGTTGTCATCCGTCGAAAATGTTATTTTCTTATTTTAATGATGATCGATCGACACTTTATCATTTGTTTCTCAAGACGTAAATGAATTGTTAATAGATGAAAATGATCTTTTCTTCTGCTTCTCTTCTGTTCTATTGGTGTTTATAATGAATGATAAGATTATTGTGATTGGTGATGGCTGTCTCTTTCTGTCTTTCTCTATATACAAATGTACAGATGGTATTGTATCGTCATAAAAATTGTATATGCATGTTTATTACAGATAGGCAAGCATTGAATTGATTTACTTGAAAATGATATCCAAACATATACCTACAATCGTAATATTAATCTCAAGTTTTGTTATGAGAATTGATAAACATATTTTCTTTCAACTAAACTAACATAAATGTTTTATTAAACAACCATAAACTTGTTGAGAGAAATGCAATATCTTCACTACATGATACAAAACGAAGAATATCTGGGTGAAGGCTTATTAAGTGGGAGAAGGATTTTACTCACTCTAATCAATATCAAAAATATAATAAGTGCATGTAAAAGACCGAACAAATGCTATTCAGTCTACTTTCACAACAGGTTAGAGAGAGAAACGTTTTTCGGTCCGTAATAGTGAAGTAACATTTTCTCGTCTCTTCTACTCTACTTCGATATAAATGAATCATTACAATAAGGAATTAAAAGACTATTCCCATCTAATTAATACATATTAAGTTGAATAAGTGTCTCTAGTTAGGCCACTTTCTTATTCGTTTCACAGTATGAGCGTGTCTATTGTTTGACAATATGGGTGTTTCTCTATTAATTTTTTCGTTCATTCAATATTTATTAAAAAAGAACAAAATAGAAATTTCATCTGTTTTTGATGATTCTGACAGCAGCAATTGATCTAAGAAAAATCACATGAATATCTATCTATAGTCTAAATAAACAGTCATTTTATATATGTAATAGAGTGAAGACGAATGCTAGATAAATATCATTTGTTGTTATTTTAACGTTGTTTCAACAACAGGATGAAAACATGTCGGATGTCAGAGAGAGAGAGAGAGTATACTTAAAATCTAATATAATATTATTATTATTGTTGTTGTTGTTATAGTGGTTAGCAATGATATTTTCTCTATAAAAAAAAAGATAGATAGGCATTGCTCATCATCAAAAACATGTATAAGAGAGAAAAGGAAAGTTGATGAACGATTGTATACGTGTATGTGTATCCTCTCGCCATAGGAACCATTGTTTCAAGCAATAACAATTAGCTTTATTCTACTTTTTCTTAACAGCTGACGTTTCTCTAAACTTATAATTCATGGATCACTTATAATTCTTGAATAGACATCAATATTCAATATTTTATAAACGAAAAAAAAAGAGAAACTAAAGAACGACACAAGGAAACTTAGTTGGTACTGAAGTGGTCAATGGTATCGTAGACAATCTGAGTGTGTCTTACTAACTCATCTGTACCAAATAAAGATTCGTCTTGCGGCAGAACAAGAAGCTATGATGAAATAAAGTTTTAGAGCATCATTTAAATACAAAGTAAAGCTAGATGTATTCGAAAATACAGTCAGGCTAAAGTGAATGAGTTTTCAAGTGCGAACTTTATCGAAAAGAAGCAAGATTATCGGTATGCGAATCAGATCTATTCTACAACTATTTGTTAGAACAAAAATTATCTTTCGCCTTAACTCGTACAAAAGACTAATAATACTGTTAATTGAAGTGAAAGCTGACAAGTTTGACCACCTCTATCAACATTATCAATGAAAACTGTCAATGTCTAAATATTATCGATGTGGAAAAAAGAGATACTATACCACGCATCATTTAGATACTGACAAGTATTCTATCATAATTAGAAATCAATTATTTTAAGCTGTGATAGTCAACTTATAGAGGAAAGAGAAACGAATTAGAAAAGAGAAGAAAAATAGTGAGATAGATGGCGCGCATAACAGCGATACCATGTTGATTGCATTTATACTTATTATCCATTTACTAAATATTTTTTATATAAACAAAACTGTTGCATTGAATATTTACTGAGTTAATAGAAATATATATACCACTTAGAACACTTCGGTTGACGTTGAGAGTGTAGCATGGCAACGTAGACATAAAAATATCAAAAGGAGTTGGAAAAGGGAAGCTGTCAAAACATATTTTTGCAAATGTAAATAAGTTCTATACATGATGGATACAGAAGTAGTTGAGAGAAATCAATCTAGCCTTTTTAATATCAATTATAATACGCCCAACATTCCTCAACGAGCAAATCTTAGTGAAACGATAAGAACAGTCACAGATAGACACACACTTCCAGAGTTACCGAGAACGCACATCTCAGCTACAGTGTCACATGTTATATCAAAGGAAATCGGGTAATTCTTTTTTTCTAATTTTTGTAAAAAAACAATAAAAGAGAAGTGATTGAAAAACATTTTCTCTGACTTCTTAGGCTCAATTTATCCTCACTTCTGATTATATGAACATATTTTTAAATTTAGAGAAAATTATTCAAAAACCTCTATTCGTCCAGAAACTGTCAAAAAACTATTTGTATCTGGCAATGTTGCTGATGATTCTCATCGAACATATGTACAAAATTTACGAGAAATACAAGCAAGACGAGAACTTCAATTACAAAAAATTGCTCAGGATGAAAAAAATTTTATACTGGCCAATGCATTAGCAAAAGAACAATCATTAATAACAACATCGCCGAAAGAAATTGGTGCAGAAAAAGATAGTACGTTTTAGAATAATATGCTCAGAGATTATTCATTAAAAAATGTTCAAGCTCGACTTTTTCAACTACTACCTACTTTTGTACATGTACTTGGACATTCTTCGAGTGATCTCGTGAACCAACACCAGTATAGTATTTTTTGTATGCTGTTTAGAACCTTGTTTAAGCAGTCTATATGTGGACGAAAATGCACTTACGCGAGATCAAGTCATTTTACCAAGAGATTTTCTTAGTCAAAATTTACAACGACAAGCAAAGCGTAAGAACTTTCGTTTTAAAAATGAAAAGGAATCTTTTATCTTTTTTATTTAATAATTTATGTAGCCCTTCTACGGTCAGATTCGATTGATACGCCAAAAGAATCAAAAGATACTACACTGGTACAAGAAAATATCACACAACCAGTAGTGGGGGCAAAACGAGCTGGTGAAAAGTTGGTTCGTTTATTAAATTAGTTATTAAACTGCTTTATATAAAAAGTATCCTGTTTTTAGCCGCGAATTAATCAAAAAACATATTGGAAAGAGCAACTTCGCGTACCTGATCGCGATTTTGATCGTACAAAATTACAGGCATTTGATAAATTGACAAATTATCACGTGAACCCACGCTACGATGAAAATAAACAGGGTCAACTCATTACAAATCTACCACCAATGACAAAGTAAAAAGAGAGATAGAAAGAAATTACTAGCTTAGTGTAAAATAACTTATGTCGTTTTTGCATATATCTTTTTAGAGCAACTATTCTTCCAGTTTTCGAAGCAATCCCATCTGAAGTTTTATTTACACGTTGTACGTATTTATTTTATGAATATTTATCTATGTATCATTCTCTTATCAACTTCTCCCTACTTAGATCGTGTGGGGGATGTTCATGAAACAACGTTACAGTTACGAAATTTGAGTAGTGTTGCGCATAGTTGTCGGGTTATACCGCCTAAGTATGAAATAGTTTCAAATTTCTTTCAAATTTGTGATCAACTAGAAAACTAGTTTGATATGATTTTAGAACACCTTATTTTTGTATGAGCCTCGGCGAATTTCCAGCTGGACAAAGTATAGTGGCAACTGGTCTTAGTGTCACTTATAACATTAAATTTGCTCCCGATACTCTGGGCTCATATGAAGATGAAATTATTGTACAATGTTCAAATGGAACTGAGTTTCCTGTTAAACTGTATGCAAAACGTCCGCCACCTTTGCTTACATGTATGTCATTTTGGTGACATTTTAATATAGACGGATTTTTAAGAACCTTGCTAATTTTCTGTAGTGCCTGCTATGGTGGATTGTGGTCATTGGTTAGTAGGTGGTAGAAAAGTTTGTCAATTTAAAGTTCGAAACGATGGTGGAGAAGGTAGATTTGCATTAGTTCCAGCATCTCTCTGGCCATCAGTCAGCTTCAAAAGTATTGTTCGAAATGAAATGATTCAAATACCCCCATTTGAAATTGCCCCATCAACATTAGAACTACGTTCTGGTGATACGTTTACATTACAAGTTTCATTTGCCCCACAAATTCCAGGCGAATTTCTTGAAGAATTTGTAATGGTTTGCGATAATGGTGAAATTACCAGACATAAATTGAGGGGTAAACGAAAAAAAACAATCTGACATTCGAAAGGAGAAATGAAACATTTAAAATATTTATTTAGGTATTTCACAAACAATTCAAATACAACTAGAAGAGATTGAGGGAGGTGGAACTGATATTGATGAACTTGAATTTCGTGATATATCAGCACAATATTCAATCAGATTTATACCAATTAATCCGTTTTCATATTGTCAAAAGAAATTGACGATCAAAAATGCGACGTAAGGATGAAGAACGATAAACTTTATTTATATTAACAGTTTTGTATATTTTTAGACATGTCGAATTACCATTTAGTTGGACATTATTGAAACCAGTATTGTACAATGCAAATGATTTTTCAAATCAACCACAATCGATTGAAATAGAGCGTGTTATTAATGACACATCGCCTTTCCACATAGAACCACCTCGTGGAACACTAGCACCAAATTCAACATCTGAATTTCGTCTCATATTTGCTCCATCACAAGTATGATGATATTTTAACTTAATGTGTTAGTGGATCGCTTTTTATTTGATTATTCCTTCTAGATTGGGGATTATCATACTGTGATGCATTTAATCATTCCAAATGCCCCAATTTATCCCTTACCAAGCCAAACTCAAACTTCATCATCAAGTCTGACGTCGATAGGACCCATCGAACGTGCAAATTCACCAGATTTAATATCAAGTTCTGGTACAAAATCAGATCGCTTAAAACTTTCATCTGGAAATGTAAACCGTGTATCGGATATGACGGGTACGCATGATGACTCGTAACTATTAAATAGAAATTGAGACCAATCTATTTCTAGTGCTTCGTCTTGAGACACGTGGTGTTTGCGAAAGTTTCAAGTACATTTTTGAACCATATGCAATTTGTTTCATGGACAAGTTATTTAAAGGACTGGCCTATAGGAAGGATTTTCAAGTATGTTTTTCTGTTACAGATACTTTTTAATGATAATACATCAAAAAATATGTTTTTAGTTAACAAATACAAGCATAAGCCCACTGATGGTGAGTTGGGCACATCTTCTTGGACCACAAATTGTACATGTTGAACCAGTTGTAGCAGAAATACGTAAGTGAATAATTAAAAGAGAATTGTGCATTCTCATAAGATAATAAATGCCATTGGATTCTCAATATTGAACATACTGATTTTCTGCTTTCGCCTTAAAGCGACTCCTCTGACATTGATCGAAAAACAAACACACCCTGTTTGTATACAAAATTAGATGTTGTCAGATTACTACTACTAGTACAAATCAAAGTTTAGAAACAGTCCTTAAAATAGATCACCGTTAGGATGAAGCACAATCGACGTTCCTCCGCTTATAAAGAAATTGTGAATAACGTATTTATTTTTCTTGTTTTAGCATCAGATGCAACTGGATTATTTACCTTGATCATGACTGGTACTGAAATTGGTCCGACAAAACTTGATTTTCCATTTAAGTTAGACGGAATTGATGATTACGGTTATTTACATATAGAAGCTGAAATTTGTGTAAGAATTAATTTATTATTTAAGATAGTGAATTATAATTTATGAAACGATAGTAATTCTAGTTATTTTTATTTCAGGGACCTGATGTTGAAATTGAACCAACAACAATTGATTTTGGACTGGTTGAATACGGTCGAAATGTAGAAAAATTCGTGTCAGTTAAGAATATGAGTCCAATTCTTGCCAAATGTAAAATCAGAGAAGTAAATCCGGTAAGAAGAACAGTATCTATTACTCACGATGTTAAGGAAAAAGTCATTGTATTTTGATTAGACTTCATTAATATCGTTTGGATCTGATGAATTTATACTGAAACCTATTGAGCTTTATCCGTTGAGTGTTCGATTAGCAGCGAATGAAGAAGGAATATTACTGAGTGTGGTTCATTTGAATGTCGAAGATGGCAAAACAATTCCGATTGAAGTAACATCTTTAATACAACGACCGAGTGCCTATTTAACACCGGTAGAAGTGAATATTGAATCAGCTTATATCGGAATACCGATAGTTCAATTCATCAAATTATATGCTGTCAACACTCTACCAACAAAATTTCAGTGGGGACAGGTGAATATTGTTTTCTAGTTATGAGGTGACCAAATGGTTAAAATTTTGGCCACAATCCTACGGAAATTCATTAATATCAGCAGAAAAGCAAAAAGAGATTTTTCTACGCTGCATCCTGTTTGAGCCGGGTGACGCAAACAGGTTTTTTTCGACGCCCATGCAAATCTCTACTAATTGAAAAGAAAGAGCTGGACAGAATATTTTCCCGCCGAGGAATGTGAGGATAAAATGCTGACAAAATGCCCGCTCCCTGTGCTGATCAAGTCACTAGAGATAAGGCACATTTATAATCGAACATCCTTCTAATATGATTTTTCTTTCCTAGCCGATTGGAAATGATATTGATCAGTGTGAAATATCGATTATACCTTCATCTGGTATTATTCAAAACGGTGAATCATTCGTAATCGAAGTAACATTTTTAGCGAAAAACGAAGGCAATATTAATGATTTGCATATTCCATGCTATATTCAAAATTCGTCGGCACCAATATTTTTGAAATTAAAGGTGAATATGAAGGGAATGAATGTGATGTTAAAGAAAGAAGAAAAGTAAGTCTTATGTTTATATCAACTTACACAGATTAAGTGTATTTTTTGTAGTGAGTTTAAGTTAGATGATTTGTTGACACTTGATTTTGATGATGTTCAACTGGGTAAACAATCAACGATGGAACTAACAATCACGAATTTAACGGACATCAAGAGTAAAGTTAGACCAAATATTTCAAAATTCAAAGCAAAGGTGAGATTGTTGATATTCGTGATGTTTAACAATACGTATGATAAAAATATTTGTTGTTATTTTAGGTTATCCCTACTAATGCAATGACAATGTATAAAAGTAAGTCAAAATTGATAATATTTCTTGTTTTTGAAACTACTGATTTTGTCAACCACTTAAATATCGAAACTTGTGTAACATGATGCTTATTGTGGAGCACGGGAAAAGATCCAATCAATCGAATGGAAATTCTTTCCTGGTAAAATTTCATCATAATATTTTAGAACCACAAGGTTTGGAACCATCAGATCAGTCTATTGGCGTAGGATTTTATACTGGTGATACTGTTTATAAACTTTATCCAAAATCGAGTATAACGTTACCAATCACTGTGGTTAGTTCCATGTGGGGAACATATAATGACACATTGCAATTACAGGTATAGAGAAAGCGAAAATAGTTTGTTAAAGAAGTTAAGTCATGACTGTATGTTAAGATTGATGGTATTGATCTTATCAAAGAAATTCCAATACGAGTAAACATAGTAGGAACACCAATTCGAATGTATTTGAGCGCGGCAAATGATGATACGTTACCCGTAGTGCAGTGAGTATATTGAACCAAGAATTCTATTTGAATGACACTATTTTACATTAGATTTGGCACGATGTTACACAATGCTAATCCATTAATGAAAAAAATTCATTTGCAAAATATTTCACACAATCCTGTTCGTATTGATTGGATTTTATATGATCGAGACAATTTAGAGGTAAATCCAACTGAGAAACAAAAAGTGATTCAATTAATACCAGTTATTGGACACCCATTTGATTCATTAAACAATGGTAATAGTGAACCGAGCGAATCCAGTATGTACGTTTATCGTATAAAGAATAAGTCCTATGTTGATCTCAATTTATTTTTAAGATACGTATATAACTGAAGGTACATTATCAACCATCGAACAAAGTGATCGAACGGCGTCTGATACTGAACGATCAGTTACTACTACAACGACGGATCGTTTGAAACCATTGAAACTTTATATGAAACCCTATGAAGGTGCACAATGTATCGGTAAAAATTGTATGTATACAATCAGTCCAACAACAAAAGTAAGTATGCTCAACAGTCGCGAATAAATTTAATATTTAAACTTAACACATGCTGTCTTTGTGCAGGTAATTCCACCCCGTGAACACATTTATCTTGATTTAACATTTACACCCTCCAATTGTCCAATTCAAAACAGAACAATGCAATGCAATGCAACATCAATCGGAATATTAAGTGTTTCGCAAGAGGTAAGGTTCAAATGTGTGCTACAATATACAATACTCAGATAAAACTGTTCCTTTGCATAGTAAGTTGTCGAAATCAACTTATATTGTAGTAGATTGTTATTTCGTTATTGAAAACACCAGTTTACGACAGTCCTTGGTGTCAAACTCAACCTGATTGAGTTTGACACCAAGGGTCTCTACTTTTAAATTCGTTAAACTTTTAAACCTTCATTCTAGGCTTAAAAGGTGCAGAATTTTGTCTAGTTTTTAATGGTATACTTGGCTTAGGATAAATCCTTATGCTTCCTTTGAAACTTTCGAAATAGTAAACTCCGTTAAAAACCATTGCTGGACCCTAACAACTAACCTTTTTTATCAGTAGAGTTATCTGTCAAGTATAGTCATAAAAATTATCGCATAGCTACCAAAAGATCCAGTCTTCCAAGTTCTACAAAACCTATGAAATAGGTTAAATAATAACGTTTACCTTTTGTTATAAAAGAGAGTAGATTTAATTCTAGTTTTCTTTGGAAAATAAAAAGTCTGAAAAACAAAACGCACATACTTTTTGTATATGATTGATTAGGTATAGATCCTGTTACATAATTTTTTTCTACAGCTCAGAACATGGAGAATTCTTTGCACTTTTTTGTGATTACGGTCGATTAAACAAGCCATAGGCTTACAATGAGAGAAATCTGTTAGAAGACGAATAAGACAGTTATTGAGGAAGTTTACTATTTTGAAAGTTTTGACGAAAGTATAAAGATTTACTCTAGCTAAACATATCATTAAAAACTAGACAAAATTCTGCATCATTCAAGGCTAGAACGAAGGTTTAAATCAAGTTGAAAAAAATCAAGTTTGTCAATCTGAGTTTAATACCAAAGGACTGTCGTGCTATTGTATAATTCGACAAATAAATGAAATCTTGTGAGATAAAATCTCTGAAAGTATCTGTCATCTTGATACTTATTAAAAATTACATAAAAGTCAGCGGTAAAATATAAAACAAATTATATATTTTGAAAGGCACGTTCCTAGGCTATAATCTCTCAGAAAAAAAAAATGCAAGAACAAAAAGTAAAAACCACAGAGAAAAAAAACGCTTGTTTTCGAATAGATAATGTCTTTCCACAGTGTACAAGCCATAGTAGAATAAAGATAAGAGGTGACTTTTTTACCGAGTTTAATACTGATTCTGTATGACTTGAGTTAAACATAAAATACTCTTGAAGATCACCTGACTGTATATCTCATTTTAGTTACAAGGCTCATCTAAACATGGTTATGAACGTGTCGTATTTTATGAACATGAGCAAGTTCAATTTGAAATGCATGCAATACTTGAAATGCCTATGCTTCGTGTAGAAGTCAATGATGATGATGATATTGATGAGAAAACAGAAGATAGAAATGAAACACCAAGTATTCATTTTGCAATACCTGTTGGTTCGTATTTAAATTGAACATCAAATTATATAATAAATACATGATATAAAACAGAAAAACTTTTTATTATCAAGTCTCTTTGTATTTTAGGTGACCTAGTTCTTTCTCGTCCCAGCTTGTATGATTGTACTATACCTTCGTCCGGTGATAGTACCAAACGTGTTGAAAAAATCTACAAACGATCAATAAATTTGTTAAATTATCTTCAGTGTAATATTCCATTTGATATCGATGTATCCGATTCCAGTTATTTATCAACTGATCTTACGACAACAAAAACTTTATCACCAAATGAAAAATGTTTAGTTCGTTGTAATTTTCATTTAACACAAGATTTAATAGATCGATATATCAACTATGATGAAAATTCAATAATTAATGGTAAATTTTAATTAACTACACAAACATCTTCATTTTACAATGGGTTTATCTATCACTAGTAAAAATTGTACTTTATATTTTATTTTCATTTTAACAGGTGCAGAATATTCCGTTAATAATGAACATGGTCGACGTTTAAAATATTCAGAACAATTAGTTATTAAATATAAAAATGTTATTGAAAATAATGAACAAATCATTCCAATTAATATTCGTCTTTACTATCCTTTATTTTTAATTAATTATGATTTAATTGATTTTCAAATATGTTTTTTAAATCAAACACGTCAAAAAGAACTTGTTCTTAAAAATCCTACATGTTCATCTTCAGCATGGTCAATAAGAAAGATATGGGCAAATATTCCTGATGCTTTTGAATCGTTTCAAATTGAACCAAAATCAGGAATATTAAAAACAAATTTTAAAGATAAAACAAAGCGTTCACAACAAATAATTCAAATTTATTTTACAGCAAAACAGACACACTATTATGAATGTAAAATATTAGTCGAAGGATTATTGGGTGAAAAACCGTTACATGTTACATTGAAAGGACAAGGTATGATTAAACGTGAATTTTATTCGCTAATGTTTTTACTTTTAGTCAGTGAAACAAGTATTTTCTTTTCTTTTCTAGGTTCGTTTGATGGCAAATATGAAGCAATATTAGATATTTGATATTGGTATTATTTCTATCACACATTGAACACGTAGGTACAGCGATTCTTAAACTGTACACTACACATGGTGAATAATAAATGATCAAAAACTGTCTACATGGAATTAGATTTTTATTTGTGATAAATATTTATTACTTCTTTGTCTTTCAAATGGATATGAGAGTTAGGTGTTGTAGTACATTACACATCTACTCATTCTGAGATAGTTCGTCTACTATCTATTAAAAGCATGAGATAGACTCTTTTTGACATGCTTAATTATTTACTGGAAGCTCTAGTAATGTGTCCTTTCAGGAATACATTTTTCTTTTAGCTAATGTAATTTATTATAAAATTTTTAGAGATCTTTTTTCTACTTATTGTGACTTTTTTGTGTTATATTCGCAACGGAAGAAATCTAATGAAAAAACATGAGATCTTTTCAGATAGAGTCGCAAAGAGTAACAAATTATGTATCAGCTTCTAAAATTTCGAACAGATTTAAGCCGTTTTCAACTTAACAAATGTGATTTTAACTAGACAAATAGATTTAACTTTCACATATACATACGAGTGATTCTGATAAAAATAGTACCGTTTATGTTAAAAAATTGACCAAAAGAAAAGGCAAAGGCTTGGGCAATTGAATATCATATGTCGATAGTGGGTACCTAGTAGTATCAGAAAAAGCAAGTTTGCAAACTACCACTTCTCTGTGTCCTGGAATGCGGTGGATTTCGAATGCACGGAGATAAGATCTCCCCTGATGATTTTCATGTATAAATAACTGAGACTACTCTAAAAATACATAATTATAGATTACAAAGTGTGCTCTATCTACTAGTATACTCAAAAACGATTCACAAAGCTTCCAGTATCGCTAGTTTCCTAAAAATCCTGGATTTTCAGAAATCGTTTTTTCACTCATTTGAATGCTGTATATGTACATCCATAAACTCTCCACATCATAAAACCTTTATACTAAAAATTTGGCTTTGTTCACGCGTGTTACGTTAAAGTTACAAAAAAACCCAAAGAGAACGGAATAAGGAATCGTAGTGATGAGCAAAGATGTTTATGAAGAGAAAGCCTGCATTCTATTGAATGACACACGAAATCGAATGCAAGAGTTGCACAAAAAAATCGTGTAGGAAACGTACAAAACTGTAAAAGGTAAAATTAAAGAGCTTATATTCTAGCTAGACTCGCATGTAATATTAGACACAGAGGTCTACCTAAATTAATGAATTTCTCTATACTCCCAATAACACATAAAAAAGGCTGCCGGGGTAGACCAATAGCGTCGGGTATTGGGCATTGTACTAAGAGAGCATCAAAATTTCTGTATCAAATCTCACAACGTTTTGTCGACGGTTCATCTAAATTTATTAGGGAGAAATGTGTGATTCCGATAGAGTTCTCAATAGTACAAAATGATTACTTATTGAGATTGTTTAGAAGCCACTCTTCACTAGTCAAATAAACGATGGAGTCAGTTATTTCAGGACAAAAAGCGCATCAGTGTTTGATAGTAAAATACAGTCAAACCGTTACCCGTTAAAAGTAACGGTTCACCCCCTACTATAAGAGCGAAAAATAATTAATAGAAAAATATGGATTTTTTAAATATAGATTTTTTTCCTTCCAAGTAACGAAACGCAGTATAATTATTTTTATTCATGAAGTCGTAAAAGGAAAAGAAAATTGTTGATAGAATACAATTTCAACCGTCCTTCCTTCCGCCAACTTCAAAACATACTTATACGCTTGGCATCATGACTAAAGTACGATTAGTGGAATGTTGTTTTTTCACTCACTCGCAGTACCCAGCTGCCGCCCCCTCCCCCGCCTACGCTCTCATGAGCAAGGTGTACCACAGAAGGGCTCCACTACGCATTGAACAAGAAAAGAACAACGACTGCATATGTTTCTTACTAGTGATGATTTAGAAGGAAAAAAATCTATATTTTTGTCTTAATTAATTGGCTTGTAAAACCGAGATTGTTTCATTTACTTTTCGTTAATTAATTTGGTGATCAAAAGTGTTATTTTTTGGTGATCATTTCACCATGAATAAATTTGGGTGATCAAAACAATTTTAGTATCGAGTGCCTCTTCTTTGGGATAAAATTTCATGACAATGAACATGGGTAAGATTTACAAGTAGAAAAACTTGCATTTTTTTTGGTTTTCTCACTCTCCTACTTTTCAAATTATTACTCCTAGAGAAAAAAATTTGCTGAACAAGGGCGAGATAGCCTTGTAGGCTTTGAAATTCTCTATCGAGATGGTCATTTATCCTACATTATCGATGTGCTACGACCGATTTAAATTATGACTAAGTATCCTTTTTGTCTCTTTTTTCCGTCCGAAATGTATCGAGGCACTGCACTTGCCGTTTCGTTCAGTCTTTCCTCTTCGGTCTCAGTAGTTTTCTGATTGAACACGTGGAGACTACATCGTGGAGACTACATCGACAGCACTTCTCATTTCTACACATTTCTAAATACAAGATGTCTGCTCATCTAAACGTCGGTGAACGGTGGGAGTGATTTCTATGAAACTGGATCAAGGTATGAGTGCGTCTCACATAGCAAGTGTCATCAATTGTTCAACGCAGACGGTTTACAATATTCTGGATCGTTCGAGAAACGAACGATGTGATAGAACGAAAAGAACGTGGTGGTGGAAATTCGTTGACTGCCGATGAACCCAATATTTTACGACAACTGTTCTACAGATATCCACATGAAGCATCAGCTCGAATTAATTATCGATTTTATCAAAGAACCAGGTTTTCTGTTAGCTCTCGCACGATTAGAAATTATCGAAAACTTTTCGGCTTTCATCCTGTCCATGTGAGAACACAACCACTGATAAACAAAGAGCATGCACAACAAAGATTACTCTTTTCGGAACGACATATCGATCACAATTGGTCTCGAATTATCTTTTCCGATGAAAAAGCCTTTGAAGTTGATCTTTCGGGAATCGTTTATTGGATTCCATAAGGCCGGCCAAGACCAACATCATTTACGAGTCCAATTCAATTTCGTATCGCGGTATTTGGTACGGTCTGGTACAACAGTAAATCCGATCTGGCACTCATTCGAGGTCGAACAAATACTGTAGCGTTTGTAGAATACCTGCAGACTGCTCTTCACCCCCACCGCCGATCGATAAAAAATTATTCTTTAGTACATGATCGTCCTAGATGGGCACCCACATCATCAGCACATGTAAAGCATCGATGATGTAGGATAAATGATCATCTTGATAGAGAATTTTAAGGCTATCTCGCTCTTGTTCAGCAAATTTTTTCTCTAGGAGTAATAATCTGAAGAGTAGGAGAGAGAGAAAACCAAAAATAAAGCAAGTTTTTCTACTTGTAAATCTTACTCATGTTCATTGTCATGAAATTTTATCCCAAAGAAGAGGGTTCATTTGATGAAAGAAATATCCTAGTTTGTAGAGAATTTTTGGCGCTTTCAGAATATGTATTTACTTTTCCAAAAAGATTTTATCATAATCAAGATATATTGAAAATACTAATTAGAACGGCGATGAGAAAATCGATCGATTGGGAATGTGATCGTAGAGGTGCGTTTGTTTAACTCTCGTATTTCGTCTGAGGATAAAAGCTATGTAACATCAAAATAGACAGTTCGATAGAGAATTCGACGAGCTATCCAATGGTATATTTGCTTTTAAAAAAAGTCACGCAGAAAATTGTCATAATAAATGAAATACCAATTCCAACTTTTGCTTTCCAGGGGTATATATTAAAGGATGTGGGGATTCATAATTTTTATCTCATTTATTGAGGGACACCCTTACCCAACTTTTTTCGGAAAAGTCCTTTTGTTTAGAAAAGCTTTGTGTTATACACTATTCGATCTGGTTTCACGCGCTAATTCCAAATATCACTTTTATTTTTTATTGAAAGTGTTCTTGGATTGGGAAAAACCGATTTTATCTAAAAAACCAAGGCTTTTTGGAAAACTTCTTGTATCGCTCAGGAACACTTGTGCTATTTTTATAGGCATGAAATACACAGGCGCTGGTTCACATCGTTAAAGTGTGAACCAGCGTGAAGCCTGGCGTGTCTTTACGCCAGGGGTGTCAATCCTATGGGACGTTTGAGGCACAATACCTCAAACAAAAGTAAGGTGGTACGCTTTTTTGCAGTAGAAATTCATTTCTCGGGTGGTACACTGATGTGGCATATAGTGCCTCAAATATTCAGGTAGGGATAGCTGCCGCTGCTTTGCGCGCTCATTACACTGGACACAGTCCCACGGAAACTTAGTTGGCTCAGAAGATAGTTTTTTTCTCTGGCAACTTAGGTGAAAAAAGAACTTTTTGCAGTAATAGATAGCTAGACGTTCTTAGTTCTACATTTTACTTGATTTTTTTCATCTATGCTGGATTCAATAAATAAAACCATCCATACAGGTATTGTTTTCTGGCTGATTTTTAGTTAAGGATTTTTCCAAGATTCTTCGCGGTTGGAACAAAACATTTTATGCCAAAAAACAACCCATCAAACGACATGGATTTACCTCTATTTCAATCTAAAGAAAGTTTACTTTAGATTTTTTGCCAAAAGTCCGCCTAGATCCCCACTGTGCCACAGCACCTACACAATGATCCAATCCTACGTGAATATCTGTGTGCTGTCTGTAGGTTTTTGTCGGCGTCTATATGTTTTACTATTATCCCTCAAGATTTATCGTTTTCTCGCCAAATTTGTATGATCTTATGACGACATGCTCCAGGGAAACATCGGATCGTGTAAGACGCTTTTGAGGGTTCCGGTTTTTTTTCAGGTTCCGTCCAATAAACAAGAACTGAGAAGTAGTTCTCATTCAAAGAACGGAAACCGTAAACTATCACATGTATTGACTTATGGTCGAACGTGTGCGAATTTCTTCAGAAGTATTTTGAATGTAATACATCTTGTTAACTTTTTCCTTCGCTCGAACGCGTTGAATAACTAGTTGATTTGACACAATATAACATCGTTAACACGTTAGATTAAAATAACCCTTTTTTTCAGAATAATTGATGCATTCAAATTAACGTATCATTATCATTTTTTGTTTCCAGGCTGGTTCTAACCTGTTGATCCCCCCCCCTAACTTTTTATTTTCTGTATATTTTTTATAGTACTAACCGGAAGAAAAATTAAACAACGCAATTTCATATCGAGCTACGATAAAACAAGACAGCATTTATTAGAGAAAAGAGCGAATAATTACTTTTCTACATTATTTAATTCTCCGGAAATTTGAATATACCATCCAACCTACATGATTATCACCCTTTGCTCATCTAATAAAAAACATGTTTATATTACATAGAAAACCATTAGCATGCGTACAAAGAGAAATATGATGTGTATTTTAGAATGTTTCTAAATCGCTGAATATTTCGTATAAGTCTAATTTAATGAATAGTACCGTTAATTCAAATACAACTATCACGACACATTTTCTATCAAAACAACTGAACATTTACATCGGACTTTCATTATTCGTTTTTGGAAATTTAGGATGTGTGTTCAGATTTATTCTATTTTCACATTCAACACTCCGAACAAAATCGTGTTCCATCTATTTGCTTATGGGATCTATTGGCGATTTGTTTCGTATTAATATTACATTATTTCTTCGAATATTAGCATTTGGTTTTGGAATTCATTCAATTCAGTCTTCACATGTATTTTGTAAATTAATAAGCTATATTACGATATGTTCTATGGTGTTATCAAATGGCTCAATTGTACTAGCCTCAATTGATCGTTATGTTCTTACGAGTAGAAGTGTTAATATGAGAAGTTTAGCGAATATTTCAATTGCAAAACGATTAGCATTTATAATAATTTGTCTCTCATTTGTTTTTCCAATACATCTACTTTTTGACTATAATGCGGCAAAAAGTATTCGGGTTTGTGTTTTAAAGTTTTCATCAAAAGTATACAAAGCATTTTTAAGTGTTTCTTATTTGATTCTATTTGGTATTTTACCTCCAACGTTATTAATTACTTTTGGTATTTTAACATTGAAAAATATTCGTTCTCTACGTAGTAGTCGTAGTAATTTTCTTCGACGAATTGACTATAATTTAACAATAATGGTATTAAGTCAAATTATATTAACCATTCTAGCTCCACTAGCATATTCGATTTATGCTGTTTACAACAATTACATCGGAGACACAACAGAACAAAATATGTGGGTTAATCATCTTGTGGCATTAATATCTTATATTGAATGCACTTGTGGATTCTACTTTTATATCGGTATATCAAAACGTTTTCGTCAACATTTTTTTAAAATAATAACAAGACAACATCCTGGTCGTTTTCAAACATCTAGTGAATAATAATTATTCCATTATCAAAGTGATAGATTTAATTAGTAATAGCAATATCTCCAGACATCAATTATCAGTTGCATCAATGTGTTAATTAAATTAAAAAAACTAATATAACAAGTATCATTGAGTTCAAACTTCAGTGAGCCTTGAAATAAGGAAGATTGACCTGAAAGTTGTCAATATAAAGGTAGATATAATTAATCGAACAATGATGAAAATATGGAAGTTGGAATTGTTTAAAAAACAAAAGTGACTAGAGTAAACTGGGGCAATTGGAAACGATTTTATGCTCTTTGAACTTCTAATTAGTATAACTTTGTAAATTTTAATTATTTTTTTGAGATTTTTTTACAGGTAAGTAGAGAAGGAAGTTCTCTATAGGTCTATCTAAAAATTTTCAAAAACTCCGTATCCCAAGCGAACTTCCAGCATGTTACACGAGAAAAAAAAACTAAACTAGCTCAGTTCAGATAAGCGATGGAACGTTGGTTCAGACGCGGTTGGATAGAGAATTAACATCTGAACAAACGTAGTGGTTAACCAGGGGTGGCAGTATTACTATTACTCATGTATTACATTACCGAGGGAAGTAATACTGAAAGGTATATATTACTGTTACTGGTAACAGTAATTTTCCATGTATTCCTATTATCAGTAACAGTAATATATACAATATTTGTATCACTGGTAACAGTAATAGTAATGTACCACCCCTAGTTAACCACTACGTTTGTTCAGATGTTAATTCTCTATCCCACCGCGTTTGAACCAACGTTCCATCGCTTATCTGAACTGAGCTATTTTAGTTTTAAAAAAGGTTGAATTTTTTAAATGTCAAACGAAACTCAAAAACTGAAATTTTCAGTTGAAGACTTGATTTTTTTTCTCAAAATGTTCGCCTTTCGACGCTGAATTCAAATATATCATTAAAAATGTTTCATGTCTTAAGACTGATTTTTAAAAATTGTTTTAAGAAGTACAAGTAGCCCAAAAACCATGGTTTTCTAGAAAACCCTACTTCTGGTAGTTTTAGAGAAAACTTTCTAGAGAAGAAAAGAAAGAGGACGTTGAGAAACCCTTAAGCGCCAAGTTTCATAAAGTTTCGTTCAGTGATTCTCGAGATAGCCTACCAACTTTCTCGTGTAACATGCTTATTTCGTTAGTTCTGAGTGAAAACGAGTGAAAGTTTCTCTGGGATTGTAGAGAAGAATATTTTGCATCTTTTTATAAGCGCAACCTTTTTTTGTGAGAAGTGTTCTTCGAGTAGAGACTGATTTCCAAGAAATTCCTAGCTTTCCAGCTATTTTACATGGTCGTTTCCATTTACCCCACTAACTTTCACGTATGTTTCCAATTGCCCCAGTTTACTCTATTCATTGCGACAACGAATAAATTTCGAAATGGAAGAAACATTCATCAATAAGGGAACGAATAAACCAAATTTTTAATTGAGAAAGAGCAATGTTCAATAACTCTAGATCCTGAGTAATGAGAAATGCTGAGACAGTAGAACAGTAATCACGATTTTTAACATAGTTACTTATTTGGGAACTAGAGCAGTAGTCAGCATAATAACCTTTGTAAAAATATGTATATAAAGATGTATATATAAAGGTAAAGATACACAATTCTCTTTTCACACTGTTTTTAATAATGTTTGCTGAATTTGTTGAACGTATCATGGCAACAGACAACTGTGTTATCTCGGTTATTGATATTCTCTCAAACGTAAAAACCATAATAATTTTTTTTCTAATAATACATTGGTCGTCGCAATGAATATTCATTTGTTCATCGTTGCTTTTTGTCCAAATAATCTGTGGAAAATAAAGGATAAAATAATAAATGAGCTCGGAAAAACGAGATATTTGAGCCCGGTATACATAACTGGCTTTAAAATGAGAGAAATGAGCTCGGTTGTAATAAAATTATATTCTTTTATATAAATGAGACCTTTGAGCTCGGAAATTCATTAATCTAATGAAGAAGAGATATTTGAGCTCGGAAATTAATTTATACTCTGAAAAGAGACAAATGAGCTCGGTATATTATATTTATACGATATGTAGTAGTTTTACCAGCTTGAAAATGCTCGGTACCATAAGTAGAAACTTTATTTTCTTTTGTAAAAGATTCGATATCACTTTCAGAAGTAGAACAGAAACATTCGTGCCAAGTTCGGCGAGACATTATGAAAGAACAGATTTAATTGAGAATGTACTGATCGGACACGCATACAGACTTTTATTTGAGTATCAAAAGTTCATCGATTTGTATATGATGAAAAAAAGCTCATCAATTTATACAAATTAAAGCAAAGACTTGATAATGGAAAATAGAATAGTATGTTGTAGAAAATGGGACCATCGTAAAGTTCCACAGCCATTTGGGATAAGAAGGGGAAAAGGTCGTCCGAAGGAAGTTAAATTAGCTTTAACAAAAGATTGAATATTAGTGAAAAACTACTGTAATCTATCACTTTTTTGTTCCTGAACTATTTTTCTCTTATTAAATATACTTTACTACTGACAAAATCATTAATTAATTTTCATAAATTAATTACCGAGCTCATTTTTCTCTTTTTACCGACGAAAATAAAATATACCGAATTCATTTGTCTCTTTTCAGAGTATAAATTAATTTCCGAGCTCAAAACTCTCATTTTAAAGCCAATTAAGTACACCGAGCTCAAATATCTCTTTTTTCCAAGCTCATTTAATTTCGTGTCCGAAAATAAATTCCTATGCAAGAAAGTGGCTAATTGGAATATATTTTTATGTAATCAACGGAAAGTAAATCCTCTGTAGCAAAAATTATACTTATCTATGAAGAAAAAACTAATCAAAATAGAAATTAATCAATGGACAGTAAATCTTCGCAGAATAAGATGCAGAAGATCGAGCTCGAAAAGAAAAACTTAATTTTCACTAAATGTAGTATTTTATTCTTGTTATAGGGAAAATGTTAAGTGAAAAAAGCCGCCGTCAGCGTTCTCGACAAACATTTGTCATTGGTTATCCGTTCTATCACGTCAGAATCATCAAAGGCTGATACAAGTTTTCTACATTCCTAGAAAATATGGTTTCTAAACAATTTGTTAACGATATTCTCTTCTTTTTAAAAATCTACTATATATTTGATTGCTCTGAAATTAAACGATTATCTAAATGAACTTAATTAAATACGTAAAAGAGACAAATATAAAATTGTAAATGATAAAAATAAAAGAAAAATTATTGCACAAAGATATTTTAACTTAGAGTTTAACAACGTTATTTTATTATGATCAGTTGAAGTAAAATATTAATAAATTGTGCTTTTTATGAAAAGAAAAATCATAAATTTAAAAAACTGAAAATACACTTGATCAAGTTGATATCGAGTCTGAGTCCATTGACTCGTTTTGATCTCTGATAACGACAACATAGATCTTACATTATTAATCTATAAGCAACAAACAATCAAAATTATTTGATCGTTGATATGGACAACTATTATGGTAGACATACATCTATTCAAGTAATATAAGATTTTGTCCTGTTTAAAAACAAATACATCTGACTAATTTTGAACCGATTTATCAGTCTTATTTCTTCTTTATTTGTCTTACTTTTGACTGACAGCCCTAGTGAAACTTTCTTGAGTTAAGAAATGTCACAAGATCTTGGAAAAAACGCCAAGAAGTTAAGATCTTAGATTCTTGAATCTGTCAGTCAAGATCTTGGGAACAGAAATTTCAAGATCTTGAGTGACAAATTTTCTTTACATTTTGTTTTTATTTATGATAGTCGTAGCCATATGATATACAATCAGATAGAGTCATACATTCTTCCTTAAACAACTATGGTCAAGAATGACAAAAATTCGAAGTTATTCTAAGTGTGAAAATATTCGCATTTATATTTACACACGAGTGTAAAACAAAACGATGATTTTCAAGATTTTGGTACAAGAAGTCAAGAAATTATAAGATGTTCAAGATCTTGACTTCTTGAAATTTCTTGAATTCTTATATTTTCTTACCAAACTGGAAAACTTCAAGAAATCATCTTGGTTACAAGAAATTTCACTAGGGAATGTAGCTCATATTATAGAAGAGGAATCGTTCGTTACTCGCTAATGATCATTAATGGCTCTTTCGAAAAACCAGAGAAGTTTACAAATTTTTGTTATAAACAGTCGTTTTAAAACCAAAAACGATGATTGATGTTTTTTGTCCTTTGGGCAATAAAATCTCTACTTTTTTCTTCTTCTTCTTCGAGATCCTTAAATAAAATTTTGAAAACAAATTAAGACGGATTTTCTTTTCTTCTAGATTGATGTGTATTTTTTTTTATTTAATTTAAATAATGTTCAAAAAATCATTTTAACTTAATACCGAAGATAATCAACTCTTAATCAAAAAATAATTTTATTTTTATCGTTCCTCTCACCTTGATTGAAGATCGTCGATCATACTACTAATCTTGAATTAATTGGCGCCTTGATCCTTTTCATTCGGGCTACATAATTCTTTATAAATAATTAAAACTATCCTTATGGATAATGTTAATCTCAAATTTCGATCAACTTTGATGTTTCGAATATTTCACTGTATTTAAACTTTTATAATAATATTCTTCTGTAATTGATGTTTGATCATCGATTCTTGCTTGTAAATATTTTTCTAGACAATAGAGACCAATAGGATCGTAATCGGAAGAAAATTTATTTACAAATAATTGTGGACCGGTTGATACATGCCATAAATCTTTCCAATTAAAAACACAAATACCACGTACATATTTTCCTTGACAAAGTTCTTTATTTGGTCGATCACCCCATATTTTATAACGACTAATATATTGTTCTATATCCCAGTCATATGTGTAATGGCCAGGTGCCTGTTTTAATCGATTTATGGTTGAATAAAAATGTTCATCAGGCACATAAGTATTGTTTAACCATAAATAATATTCTCTTACCATAGATGAACTATGTACAAATTCAACAAATTTACGAGACAATGTTACATGAAATTCACCTTTGTATATGATCATTCTAAATGGTGGTATTTTTTGTAGCTGACGATTATTTTTTTTTTGATTTTGTTTTAGTTGACCATAGGGCATTGACGTAACATCATTTTGATTATTTAATAATTTTAATATTTGAACTAATTCTAAATTAGTTTTCAATGGAAAATCACTACCAGCTAAATTCAAATAATAATTCCATTGTGGAAATTTTAATAAATATTGTTGACATTCTTGTTCTGCTTCTAATACGGAATAACGGCCCCATGTTACATTATAACGAACAGGTGATAAATAAACATTTTTTAAACATTTCGTAAAAATTTTAACATTCTTGTAAATTATGTGCGATGTTTTAAGATCAATATGAATACAATAGAAATTGTGTGGACGATAAATTGTTTTTAATAATTGTTCAAATTGAAAAAGATTATCGTACATGAGAATGGTGAAGGCAATGGGATACTGTTTCTCTTCTTCTGTTATTTTATATTTAGGAAAGATAGTTTTAGTTGAACAATCGTATGCAATATATGTATCATTGTATGTAAGTTGCTGTTTTCTTCGTAATTCACTGTCGAGTCGATCAATTTCAACTGAAAGTACAGTTTTATCCTGACGAATAAGTCGACCACATAAAGATGAAAAGAAAAAGTCACGTGAACTAGAATGTTTTGTTGATGATAATAATTGAATCGGTCGTTCAATGCTGAGTGATAATATGCCCCAAATTATAATAATTAAAATTAAACAAACAATGGCATCACGATGAGTTCTTCCTTCAAAATAAAACATACTATATACTAAAATATAGTTAACAAGGACAAAGTCCATCACTTACGTTTATACAAGCATTTTAAAAAAAGTCGATGAAACGTCCGACGCATTCTTAGATTTCTACTTCAGTTTTTGTCTTCTACTTATATTGTGGAAGAGAAGGATTTGATATCTCCCTATATGCATATGTATCTTTACGCATCATTGACTCGTTCCTGTCGATACCTGTACAATGACATAGGCAGGGTATGACATATTTTCTTCCATCGAGCTTTCTTAACGGGGTGACTGAATGACGTCACTTTGAAACAAAAATGCTTTTAAAGATGTACGTGTTATTGGATAGTAGCTAAATGTATTTAATTAACTTAGTAAATCACTATTATATGTCAGTATATTAAGAAAAATGTCCCTATAAATCAATAATTCCGTATGTTTTGTAATAACTTTTGTGGCGACAAAAATTTTAGTGAGTACATAAAACATAGTTGACTTGAAACAATACGCCTATCACCGACAGAGAAATAAAGTTCGTGTAATATCACGGAAAAGTATTTTTTCGTATTCAGCATACTCGATAATCTCGAAGGTTTTCTATTTTTGGCGAGACATATTGTCAAAAGTGTAAGAAAAATTTTTGAAATTAATATTTTTTCGCCATTTTGTTCGAAAAATTTTCTCGTATTTTTGACAATATTCCTCTTCAATAGAAAAATTTTGTGTGCTGAATACTTTTCCGCGACTCTAAATGAATTTTACCATATTCTTTACATTGATGTGGCATCAGTCTTGAAGACAGTCATTGTTGTCGATCTAATAAAAACCTAGTGTAATATTTTATACTCTCGTTTTACGAAAGTTCTCTGCTTATTATAGATCTTAACATTTATTTTTTTTAATCTTCAAATGCTTGTTTTTCTTCTATTCTTTGTCGTTCACTTGCCATTAATTCTGTGTAGCCTGTCCACACAGGCGGATACCGAGTATAGTCATATGGATTAATCAACATGCGATCATCAGTTTTCACTTGTAACCATTGCTCCATACAGTCAATACTCAAAAAATCTTTATTTTGATTAAATTTATTTGCAAATAACCGTTTACTATTCGTAACACGTTGTAAATCTTTCCAATTTAATTGACAAATACTATTGATATAAATGGCTGATTTACAAGAAAATTTTGTCGAATATTTCCATACTTTATAACGTGTTAAAAATTGATCAATTTTATATCCAACATTTGAATGACCGGGAAAATCGGATAACCGATTTAAACTATTGTAAAAATATTCATCCGGTACACCCGTATTATTTAACCAAAATAAAAGTTCCATGGCCATTGGACTTTGATAAATATATTCGACAAATGCTCGAGATAAGGTTACATGAAATTCACCTTTCCACAAACGCATCTGGAATGGTATTGGAATTTTTGCACGTTTTCGTCGATGTCGTTGAGGATTAGAATTTGGATGTGATATGACATCGTTTCGACCATTGAGTAATTTTAAAACTTGAACAAGTTCATAATTTGTATGAATAGGTAATTCGGTGCCAGCTACAAAAGTCAAAAACAAATCTTTACAATTGTTATTTCAAAGCCTTCTTTAACTTCAAAAAAAATTTGTTTGTCACCTAAATTCATGTAATATTTCCACGATTTAAATCTTTCTAATAGATACACTTGACAAATTCTTTCTGCTTCTAATGTTGAGTATGTACCCCATGCAACTTTAATTCGTTTTGGTGTTACATAAACATGTTTTAAACATTTACTCGCTTTTTGTGCATAATAATATAAATATTTCGGTGCATGTAAATCAACATGAATACAATGATAATTGTGTTCACGATAAACTGTTCTTAGTAATACTTGAAACTGATATAAATCTTTGTAGATGAGTATCGAAAATGCAAGTGGAAAATTATATTCCATTTTTGTTATAGACTTTTTATAAAATTTATTTTCATCAATAAATTGTTGACATGTTATCTCAAAATAATTTTTATTCTTTATTTGACCATATTTGTTAAATAGATCCAAATTGGCCTGATTAATTTCAGTCAGAGATACTTTCGATGGATTAGTAATGATTCTGCCACATAATGTTGAATTGAGAAATATTTGAGTTAGTGTACGATTTAATAAAATACGAGATAATCGAGTATCGATATTATCAAGTGTGAATCGAGGATTACGTAAAATAACAACATGAATATTTTGCAATGTTAATAGTGATACACATATAACAACAAATACAATTAAACATCCTATAATAAACAAGTCGTACATTCAATTTATCAACCATAGTACGTAGAACAAATTTGAAAAAAAGATTCAATCGGGTATGGCGTAACACTACACCAGATCGAAAATTCTTTCAGCTATGCAAATCTTTTTTCAAATTTTGTTCTAAGTATTATGATTGAAGAGAAAAATTAAAAATAAAAATGGATGAATAATTTTTCAAGCCATTGTAAATATCCGACTTTTATTGCAGATTGTACAAACGATCGAAATAGAAAGAAAATTCAAATTAAAGCATATGATTATGTTCTCTGTTAATACTAAACATATATGTAAAATTAGAAACACGATTTATCTTAAACTTACGCTGTTGTATCTCTCGCCTTAATAGTTTCATTCAATCATACAGACTATTATATAAAATCTATCGTTGAAATTGTTCTTTCCACTTTTCATACGATATATTTATCTTATGAATTTAAATTTGTCATTTATTAGTTGGTTGTAACTATTTCAAGATAAAAATAATTGAAAATAGCTTCTTATTCTTACAGCAATAGAATCATTTTTTTTCTCAAAAACAAAAGAATAAGAAAGTATGTATTTTGAAAGACAAAGAAATTAAACTCGATGAAGAGAGACCTTTATATTAGAAGAAAAAAATGCAACTTCTGCGTAAATTACTGCTATTAAAAAGAAATGCTGTATTATGTACTCATACCTTAGGAAAAGGATGGATGCAGCACAAACTAGAGAATGGACGTTTTCTCTCAATTCTCTCTTTAACAATTTGTATCATATATAACTTGTTAATAGTAGTCTTAAAAAAGTAGATGAAAGGAAAAAATTCATCTGATATAAGATTAATTTTATAAGGTCTTTATCTGCGTGTTATATTCAGAGGTCTGTATGGTCAACGCTGTTGATCCACATGTCTATCTGATGCAAATTTTTACTTTACTAGTTCATGAAACATTCAAAAACGATAGATCCAAAGAAAATTCCACTAAGAGAAGAGAATAAATTTCAGAAATACAAGCGATACTTCGCTCACTACAGGAATTTAATACGATCTAGTACTTTTTCAGTGTGAGCTAATTTCTGTCTTATGGTGGTCAGCTTTGAATTTAAAGGATATTTCCCAAATATTTATTTTTCTATCTGATCGCTTCTATATTTTTGTTCTCTTAGTATCAGGAAAATTCAGACAAAAAAACAGATTTCTATGTAAATTCTTCGCCCCATTTTTTATACTGCTGACCGATGGGGAAAGAATATAAACCTAACATATAAGGAGATCTCTCTTTCCGCGCACACGCCTTTAGTTCGATGTGATATGTGGCAAATGTCTCCTTTGTTGTGTTCTTCCACTGATCGTGTTCAAATATGGGCACTGTCTGCACAAGATACGTCTCGTACGATATCTCCTTATTTGCTAGACATCTAATATAAGTGCCAATCCTACCACAAAAAAGAACTGACACAACACAAGACAGATTAATACTCGTTTTAATCTAAAAGCACGAACAAGCTGTATATCTTCTCTATACTTGATCAATCTCTGTAAATTGTCAGTATAATGTCGATGGGAATTGCAACACGTGAAGTTGCGGAGTCGACGACAAAGGACAATATGACTTATCACGATACAGCAGCATCTTTGATCTGGTTGTTTTCTAACATATCACCGGACTCCGAAATTTTCAAACGTGATTAGAGTCCGGGGGATTCCCCGCACTCTAATCGCGTTTGGAAATTCCGATATTTCGATTTATAATAAAATAAAATGATTCACACCGCTGCTGTGGTTATGCTTTTTCTATTGTAAAATTGAGCATAAATGAGGTTTTTTTGTCTGCAAATAAACATAGTTAGTCTTAAACCCCCCCCATAATAGAAGCCTCCCCCATATTAGAAGCCCTCCCGTATTAGAAGCCCCCTCTGGAGCAATGGATGTGGAAGGTGTATTAGAAGCCCAGGGGCTTCTATTACGTCGAAAAATAATTTAA